CGCCATCCATTGATTGCCATGGAACTGCGCCACAGGACTTGTGTTCAGGATGACCAAAATACCTCGAGAGTGGCCAATATAGACTTTCACTATGATGAAATACCTCAGACTATCGACAGCTTCAACGATCAAGCTTAGTTCAAACCAATTTCCAAGTTAGTGACCGGAAAATCGTTGCAAGAAGGTAGATTCTGGAAGGAGCGCATTTGAAAAAATGTTGACAAACTTATGACACCATCAGCCTACCGATCCAACAGAACACTCCCTTGAAACAGTTAGCAGATTGAAAGGCCTCGGGAAGCACGATTATGTCGGGGTTCTGATCTGACGTCACTATTAGTCGCTGTAGGGCAAGAACCTCTTTCAACCATTCGTGTTTCTTTCCTTCTTCACCATCGACCACAATCATGGCTTCCGCAGAGTCCTTCCAGCTTGACGACTGCTCGTTCTCGTTCTCAATGCAAGGCAACTACGATCACCCCCGCATCTTCAGAAACATCAACTTGAAAGTAACTCATCCAGAGCTAGGCCACGTCGGGTCTCTCTATGCTGTCAAAATCCTGCGCCATTTGTGTGAGAATGCGTTTCTTGAGGTCATGGACGACCACAGCGACGAGCTCCAGCAGTTTTCCCTCGCCCTTTTCGACAAGTTCGGTCGCGTGAAACCATGGCTCTACCAGCCTGGCAATCGACGCGGCACGGGAGCCTGGGGCAAGGAACTCGATAACAGCACCATCGTCTACGTCTTGAATGCGTTTGTCAACGACAAGGTATCTGTCTAAAGCTTTTGAACCGTCTATATGCGGTACTGAGCCTCGAAAGCTTCGTGGCAAGGGACTCGGATCGAAGATGATAGAAAGTCTCCTTGCATCCAAGTATGTCGAAACCGGGACAGACACGCTCATGTGCTGGCCAGAGCCGGCTACAAAGATGGAACAAAATGAATACGAGGAGCTTAAAAGGAAGCAGGTCAATTTCTTTAGGAAGGCAGGTGTCATTTCAAAACCTGACGTGACAGTTCTAAGTGTCTTCGTACTTAGAATGGCTTCCGTCGTGTTGGACGCACAGGTTTCTTCGGATATTCAACCGACCCTGTTCATCCATCTCACGCGATTCCTCTGGAGGAAGACGTCACTGAAATAGGCGGGGACAACGAAACGAATGGTTTCAAGATCAAAGGCCTCTCGAAGGAAGAAATCGCCAATCAATATCCTCTGCATTTCGCCATAACAAATACCAAAGGTCAAGACGTTGTTGACACCATCAAATCCTATCACGAAACTAATCCGGCCTCAATACACGAGACAGACGCATATGGGTATACGCCCATCCACATCGCACTCTGCGTGGCGAATCCTGATGCAGTACGAGTGCTCCTGGAGCTGGGCGTAAAGGAGGATATGAAGAATACCAATAACGTCGAGGGCACGACGCCATTCGAGAGCTTGACTGCTACCATGGAATCCTCACGAACATTTTCGGAGACAGTGTTAGGTGAATGGAAAGGGTACGAGAATAAAGAATTGGAATGCGAGTTCTTGATGAAGCGCGCGATGGGAGAATCCACCATGTCCGACACTCTCGAGGAATACATAGCTAAACGTAAATTTGGTTGTACATGCGGCATTTGCGCTGGGGGATGGCTGTCCAAACGTATGCGGTTCCGACTCTATTGTAGGTGGAAGCTTCTTTGAGTTTGAAGTGTTCAAAGCTGACGGATATAGCAGGTGGCGCAGAGGAGGCGAGAGAGATGATGGACGACGCATTAGCGATGGGCCTCTTCAAGAACCACGTTCCATGCAGTGACCCAGATATGCTGGTTGACTGTGTGTCTGACTATCTTCCACCGCATCTCTACTCGTCCATATACGAAACATTCTACATCGGCTGGCAGTCTATCTTCACTGTGATCGCCGATTTCCTTGACCGCACGGGCCAACCGCTGAGCACAGATACCATCGTTGCGCGAAGCGCGTCGGAGACAAGTGCTAAATTTTTCTTCGAAAAAGGTGGTCAAGTGGTGTATGCTTTTGATGCACTGACAGATGGGGCATTGCAGCAGTCGCCTTTGGGAGATGGGTTCTTCGAACAAGTCTGGCAGGACCAGGACGTTTGGATCAAGCTGCCGCGTTGCGAAAATGATCTAGAGTTTAATTTGGTCAGGCAAATGCTGGGGCTTACACGCAACGTGCGTTGGGGCCCGTATCATGGTATGATGTGCATTGGTTCGTACAGGGAGAAAGACGATGAGAGCGACTCAGAAGAGTCAGACGAGGATGGGAAGAGCATGAATAGGGAAAACATAGACGAAGATGATAGCGAAGGCAGGAAAACGGATGAGAGTGTGGACCTCAGCCTTCCTCCGATTGAACGCGAAGAATTCAAACGTTTAATGGACGGTTGGGTGCCTTCGTTTGTGAGACCAGTCCCAACCAACTTCGGCCTTGACCGCCTTGATTGATTTACTGGATGGTCTTGTTACAAAAACTGAAAAACCGAACGTCTGCAGATATTCCCGTAGTCTGTATCATGTTTAAAGAATTCAACATAGTGCCAATTGAGTGTCGACCTTCGAGAGGTGATAAACCGGAGGAGAAATGTTCGGCAATGACCGAATTGGGCGAACGACGCGTGTGCATCGTGAACGCGTCAGTCATCTGTATTTGTCCTCGATCTCTTCGCCCACTTCTTCATCATGGTATGCTGGTATAGTAGTATTTGGAATAGGTTTTCTGATGTTGAATTATACAGGCCAGACGCTACGACAGTAAGCCTGATCTTTCACTCGAAATCCACGAGCTCAATAGCAGGAACTCCAATCAGGCCGCACAACTATCTTTTCGCCAGAGGGTATATCAATTTTCTTCTGGCATATCATGAACATACACTGATGCTCTCCAGGCCGGCTTTATCAGAGTCAGTAATCACCAGTATATTCCCCAAAATGCTCATTAAACCACTCCAGTCGAATATGCCATGGAAGCCATTTCGCACGCCGGCACAGTTCTTGGCGTCCTGGCAAAAGATGGTGTCGTTTTAGCAGCCGAGAAGAAGGTCACTGGCAAGCTCCTTGACCTGTCAGGTGCGAAGGACGGAGGGTACGGTGGAAGTGGCGAAAAGATCTATCTTTTGAATTCGTGCGTCTCTTCTTCATGAGATGCGCTCGAGAAATACTGACGATCTGGCGTGGCCTTTCTGGCGACTGTAGAAATGTGATAGGTGGTGTTGCGGGACTCACGGCCGATGCGAACTCGCTCATCAATTACGCGCGGTCTGCCGCCCAGCGACACCTGCTCATGTACAACGAGGATATACCAGTCGAGTTATTGGCACAACGACTATGCGATATGAAGCAGGGGTATACACAGTACGGAGGTACGTAACTGACAAAGCCACTCAGCTCTCCACTCACGTCATCTTCGTTCTTTCGGTGGTAAACAGGCCTTCGCCCGTTCGGTGTCTCTCTGCTCTACGCGGGTTACGACCCGCATTATCAGTTCCAACTATACCACTCGGACCCGTCAGGTAACTATTCGGGGTGGAAAGCAACATGCATCGGTGCAAACAATGGTACCGCACAGAGCCTTCTCAAGCAGGAGTACAAGGACACCATCGAGGTCAAGGACGCGATCGGTCTCGTGCTCAGGACGATGAGCAAGACAATGGACAGTACAACGCTGAGCAGTGAGAAGCGTGAGTTAATCTTTTCTGCTCCTTGTCTGTTTCAATTTTCTGATCGATGTCTCGCGGCTTGTTGGTAGTTGAATTTGCCGTCCTGACTCTCGACCCTGAAACAAAGCAACCGAAAGCGAAAATTTATAGACCTGGGGAGATCGATGCGCTGTTGGTTGCTGAGAACCTAACAAAGAAGATCGAAGAGACTTCAAAGACGCTTTGATTGCTTGTGTGTTGTATTTCTAATTTCAATTGCTATTTCCCCCTGCGAGCGTATCCGACGATCACTGTATGACTCGCCTGTTCCTCAAGCTACAAGAAGTTGACTGCCCCAGAAAATCCACAATAGATTGGTGAATTGAAGTATCGATGTACAAATTAGTATCGCAAGGAAATAGCATTGTTCCTTAGGTGGGACGGAATCAGTCCTTCCAGATTTCCGCAGTAGATATAGTAACAGCAAGTCAGTCAGTTCCACCGGGTTCCACCCCTTCTTCAGTGACACGCCATAGTCTTGGGACCGGATATTTCTGACAACAGGTCGTTCACGTTTACATTTGACCCAAAGATGTAATGCCCAATCGCAGCACCCAATACTACCGCGATGATGAGATATGCCTGCTCAAAGAATCAGCATGGATCAATCACAAGGTGGATAAAGAACAAACATTGTAAGTCATGAAGATGAGCATGAGGAAGAACGACAGGAATACCGTGAGGCCATACAACGATGCCCTAACCACACGAGGAATGAATGGAACAGGTGTGCTGTATAACAATTCATTGAAACTCCATGTAATCACGAACGAGACGACGCACCTTTCCGGTGATTTCTTCACTCTCCTGCCGTTCAGCAGTCCGCTCTCTTCAGAATCATATTCGGGGGTATTTCTCCCACTAGCTCTTGGAGTTGCACGCCCTTTCCCCTTCCCCTCGAACACCAGAGAACGCGCAAGATGGATCTCATATTGCTTCTGAAATCCACGAAGCCACTCATAGAGGATACCTAGGGCGATGATTATTAGGCAAGAGAATATGAATCCATGGGTACTGCGGATATGCCACGAGGGGAAGACAATGCATGTGTCGACAATCTGGGTGTTCCTGTAGTCGTGCGTTGGGCACAATTTTGAGATGAGAGTTTACAAGAGGCAAAACGTACCAGAGCATATGCATCGAACAACTAGACCCCATGGGCATATCATGGCCACCAGACATGGAATGGCTGGTGTGCATTGAGTGATCCATGTCAGGTGTGAAGAAAAGCAGTACCAGGTCGAAAGAAACTTGAATTATGTAAGCCATCCCAAAAACATAAAATATTACTGTCCCAGAGAGACTTGAACTCTCGATCTTCCGATGTGAGAGCTTAACAGTCGGACGCCGTAACCAACTAAGCCATGGGACATTACGTTGAGGATTTCTTTTGATAACTGATAATCTCCAGTTGAAACAAATGCACGTCTGGGCAAGGCCACATGGAGGATGCTCCCGTACGTGCTTGTTGAGGATACACATGCGTGTACATTCTCATGCATTCCCTTACTACAGTACAAGTATACATTGAGTATATACACCATGTCCTTCGACTACATCAGCGACAATAATCAAGGTCGAGGGCCACATTTTCCATGATGGCTCGGAGGTGAATGATACTTCGGATGGGTGCACCCTGAGCTGAGAGCCAGTGAGTTTTGATGCTCTGTTGCTTATCCGACTTGGCGCCTGTATAATGCTGAAACCAGAAAAGCCAGAACTCTCATAACTGAACTTCCTTCGACTATCATTCAGAATTTGGAATTGTAATGATGGCATTGTACTGGTGCACACATAACTCGCAGTTCTTTCATCGGGCCCGCCACAGCCGTTTGTCCTTTGCGCCATGACGTCGAGTCGTCTGAAGCAACGAGTCACGATGCTTCAAGAATATATGGATCATTTTGACTGTTCACATTATCTAGGCACGGTCTGAGTGTCACATGCAATTGGAATGAATCGAGGTCAAGAGAACGAAAACAAAGAAACTCACGAGTGGTGATGCTATTGATTGGTCTAGAATGACTAACTCCTCTGGGGTGAATGGAAGTCGAGGAATGAGGAACACTCGAAGGATTACGAGTAGTGCAATCATAACAGGGAACCCAATAGCAGCTAGATGGAAATGTTGATCATCAGTAGTGGAACTCTGATTTGGGAAAGTGACCAACCAAAAGTACGAGTGATAGCAAACGTGGCACCAATACTAGCTAATTGTATTGCAAGGAAAAAAAGGATCCGTGAACTTCGCACTCGTTTAAGAGGCTCGTGTCCAGGAGTAAGTTCCTCATCTCGAAGAAAGTAGATTATTCTCTGAGTGATTCTGTTACTAAGCAGAGCTTCCGCGCCCATATACCAGCTCACGAGTGAAGCGTAAGGCAAATTTGTGATGTCCAGGTTGACAAAAGTGACTCACAATAAGCCAGCTATTACGCCTTGAGGGATATACTTGAGTATTTGGAAATTCGACGCTTAGATAATTGATGGCTCACCCCGAGGGACCAGGTTCAGAACATGTAGAAATGGTCTTGTGAGTAAAACGAGACAAAGGAAACCCTGCGCAAGATTGGATACACGTTTCTCAATGACCGAAACAGGAACTTCATATGACGCCTCATCTGATGAGAGCTGCAGCAATTTCCCCGTGCTCATTGAATCAGCAAAGAGAAGTGGAGTCTGGGTCCTAGATTTTATTGTAGCATCTTCCTTATCATCCCTCTTAAGCGGGTAGCCCATCACGAGGAACGATTTCATGTGTATAGGTGCCTGGGGTGTAAGACTGTTGGGGGCAGGCAGTCCAAGTAGGCCAGAAAGGAATGTAGTTGATCCAAGGAGAAAAAAATCCCAGTGGAAACCGGATGGTTTGCGAAGCGGAAAGTCGGATTGGGCCATCAACGACTACTCAGAAAGAAGCAAGATTTGCAATTGTGCTAATGAAGTTTCTTGGTACTCACAGAAATATTGTGGTTCAAATGAAAGAGAATCCACAACATGATGCCAAAAGGCAGGGCAATACCGACCCATTTGGCCTCTAGTTTCCAGAATCTAACGAGCCACTCGCGATCAGTGGCAGGCTTGGAGGCTGGGCTCATGGTTAAAATATTAAAGTCAGCGACATTAAATGTCCCCCAGTACACAATAGCCGATGATGCAACCAAGGACATGGGCACACTATAGTCCGCGAGGAAACGCCTTACGTGTCGATGGAAAAACGTCATCTGAGACAATGACTGGAAGTTAAATGACGTTACAAGCATAAGGATTGCAAGAATGATTCCCAGAAAGGCGCCAGAAGTATTAGGTAGGCTGTTTAGATGGAATTGCCGCGTTGCGATTTGGATACCGTAATCCAAGTAGATCCATGATACATAGAATCCGTACGTATCGCACGAGAAGAGGGTCATGTACTTGAGAAAGCTGCACCCTATCAATGCATCTGAGATGTGATTTACAACATTTGACGGACAGGACATACAGCCAAAGATTGCCGTCATCCAATGAATCATAGCAGCCCAGAGGTACACCCAGCCCACGAAATGTAAGTAATCTGGAGGGTCATTTTGGCCCTTTAGGATTTCGAATATTATCTTGTTGAACACGGTGATTGGACCTACGTATCAGATCACATTAATCATGTTTTGTGTTACCATTGCACAAATAGCCTTGCCAGTGATACCCGCAATCGTAAGGGGTTGTGCCCCAAAGATGGAGAATATAAATGCGGCCATGAAAGACGACAACAACACCTTTGCTACATCGTATTGGGCCGTCGTCTCTATCAAATCCAATGAAAATGCAATTCCTGGAAACACACTACACGCGACTCGTTAGAAATTCACATTGAATTATTATTATGGCTCTTACTTTGTACAGAAGATGAGTACGGTGGCTGGAATGACCCGGTATTGCCATGCATCCTTCCAGTCACTGATATACCAAGGAGCACGTAGGGATCTGAACAAGCCGAACATTTTGCGCTGCCAGGAAGGTAATTCATAAAAAGGGTTCTCATGAGAAGGCATGTCTAGAGGAGTTGTCGATAGAAGTTGTGGTGCTGTGTGCTCTGGTGCCTACAGAGGTCTAATTAATGTGGAACTGTTCAACGTAGATTTATAAGTGTCCATGTGATGCCTCTGTTCTCCGATTCGGACAAATCAGATCTAGCCACAGTGGATCATGTCAACATGCCAGAATATACTATCGTCTTGTGCTCAGGTAACTCAAAGAACCCAAAGAATCGCGTAAAAAAGTTTCCTCAAGGACCGAGTGTTTTCAGCACTAGTAGTTTGATATTGGAGCTGCTGTCAATTATACTTAAGATCGTCTACGGCGGTGATGATTTCACCGTGCCACGCCGCCGGAAGTTTTTAAATGGTATGGTTCACGGTAAACCGTGCGCCGTAAACGGATGACGTACACTCCTATGTTGAAGATGCGGCATCAGCAAATCGGCAGGTTGTATATTTGGATATATATGGCTCTTAGAGGCTCGGATCGAGAATAACTTTACCATTGAGGGTTGTCTCGTCACTCGCATTCTCCTGTACATGGTCTGGAACTTAGCGACCAGTGCCTGCAGTCAGGTCCATTATCTCCAGCCACGGTCAGAAGTTTCTAACGAACCTCGCCATGTGATAGATAGAGTAGCTTGATCATGAGATGTAATATAAGAGCTAGTCCCACCACCAGTTTCTCCAAGAGAAGTAGGAAAAATAGAACCATCGAAGAAGGAATTTCATCCAGCGGTCAAGTTGGGTGGGAAGGTGTGAGTGAATGGTAGATGAGAAATTGTTGGGGAGGTGTCATTGACAGAGAGATTGACAGTTTGCGCCATCGGCTGATCAACTCGTCCAGCAAGACCTATAGAGGAGTGAGGTAGTCGGATGAGATAATCACCTGTCCATACCTGTTCTACAGAAGAATACCTTCGCGGTGAACAAGTTCTAGTATAATACGTGGTTTAGAATTATAGGTCGAATGAAGGAAATCGCGATAGCCCTGTAGACATGCTCTGCAGCCAACACTGAGAACGATTATCATATCCCCATCACAAACCCAGATCCCATCATCGTGACTGGGATCTTTTTTTTTTATTTTTTTTTTTTGTGGTACCTCTATGGATAATAGACAGTTCACAAAGTCAACCTATCGTGACTGGGATCTTGATTCTCCTCAAAT